TATGCGTTTTTCGCATTGCATTGCTGCAAAAAACGCATAAAAATCGGTACAGACGAACACACAGACGCACAGACACACACAGACAACCTCTCGTCAGTATGCGTTTTCTGCATTGCATAGCTGCAAAAAACGCATAAAAACTACTGCTTATCGTCCAAAGAAATGCCCAGCACAAAAGCGGCATGCTAAACAACTGCCAAATATGCGTGCAAATTATTTGTAACTGAGAAGAGTTCTGCTAAAGTGAGATGCACTTAAACTATCTGATATGGGTGATTTTGAAATGACTTTCACGATTGAGCAGCAAAAAAAACCACGAAAAATAAAGAACGCATTCAACAGAACAACACACGAACTTTGGTGCTGCAAAGCTAAGTGGGTGAAAAAAAAAAACACGCAACAGAAGAAATCAGGCAGCGAAAAACAAATGGAGGAACAGCCAAAAGACCAGAATGGCGCAAAGAATTTCAGGAATGCTATTTTTTATACAAGAAAGCAATTTCACGGTTTTCAATCCACACCATATCGCATAAGAATAAACATAACATGTTGGCTAATTTGCAAAACATCCCATGCAAATTTTGTCACAACATGGAGAAACACAGCGAGGATAAGTAGTCGGGGTGGTGGCGGGGAAGGGGGCAAGGGAAAGAACGGCAACAGCAAATTACTGAAGCTTAGAAAGTGCATTCAGAAATTAATGAATAAAAGTTTTAACTAGGGTTTTATTTTGTCAAATTTGGGATTCAACTGAAGGATTGTATGCGAAACCAAATGGGGTTTACACTGGCAAACGCTTTTTAACGGCGAACAACGAAAAAAACGAAACAGGGAAGTGTAGCTGTAGGTATTTCAAATGAATTTAGTGGATACTTGAGATGATTTCGGGTCGAATCGTGCAGCAATATTCTTTACATTTGGCGGCTTTTGTGGTGCCGGTGGTTTCGAAGGCAATATCGGCTTTTTTTGGCCATCCGATGCATGGCCGCCAGATTTCTAAAACATTAAATCTTATCAAAAGATGATGCGATTCAGACAGCACCAATCAGTTTCTTTTTTATTGACCACAGGGATTGCATTTCATGCAAAAATAGCGTTGCGTGATGCAAGCACACACAGAATACGGTGCTAGTAAGAGAAATCAAGCACCAACTAAAGTTTTTAGTTTCGTGTTAGAAGACT